CTGATCCTGAGGGATGTTTCCCAGTGATTTTGGGACATGAAGGTGCTGGAATCGTAGAAAGTGTTGGCGAAGGAGTTACTAAGCTGAAGGCAGGTAAAAAGAGTATACAGCACACTTATTTGATAATTTTAGCTTATTCCTATTGGGGAATTATTTTTCTGATAAATTACACAGTATTTATGAAGAGGTTATCACCTAAGTAGATTGCCAAGACTAATTTTTTTCCTCATCTAGGAAGCACAGATATTCGAGGTTTTTTCTATTTTCCAGACTGCTATTGGTCTGAAAATACATGAATACGTTGTCAAAGCCAATTTGGTAAATTAAGCAAGACTTTTTAGAGATGAACCAATGTGTTAGGATTTTGAAGCACATGACCTCCTTGTTCTCCAAGTTATTGCTTTAAGGGTTTCTTTTAAGGCCAGGCATGGTGGTTCATGCCTGTAATCCCAGAACACTGCAAGGTGGAGGCCAGTAAATCACTTGAACTCACCTGAGCTCACAAGTTTGAAATCAGCCTGAGCAAGAGCAAGACCCCATCTCTAAAAAAATAAATGAGCATTGTAGTGGGCACCTGTAGTCACAGCTACTTGGAGACTGAGGCAAGAGGGTCGCTTCAGCCCAAGAATCTGAGGTGGTTGCTGTGAGCTATGATGCCATAGCACTCTACCAGGGACAAGAAAGTGAGTCTCTGTCTCAAAAAAAAGTTTCATTTAGATAAAAATTTGGAAACATACTTTTAGCATAGTCAGGCAGTATTTGAATGATGTCACATAGGAAAAGTTCTAAGATTGAAGTTGCAAGGCCGCACCAGTTGCTGGTGAGAATTTTTAAGGACTGATGTGTTCATTTATAAACAGATGCTACCTGTTCACAATGTTTTTGCCTTTGTTTCCCAGGTGATACAGTTATCCCACTTTATATTCCACAGTGCGGAGAATGCAAATTCTGTCTAAATCCTAAGACAAATCTTTGTCAGAAGATAAGGTTAGTATCTTTTTGTATTATTTGTAAAATTAACAGTAATAATAAGTGATTATGTAGCAGTTCATACAGTGTGTTTTACACCAACTATTTCATTCCATCTTTATAGTAGCCTCACTGTCACTTCCATTAGTATTCCCATTTTCATAGAAGAGAAAATTAAGACTGAAATTAAGGAGTTTACCCTGTATTACTAGTTGGTAAGTTACAAAACAGAATTTTCTGAACCATTCTCTTTCTCTGACACTGGGCTGAATTAGCCAAAATATCTAATAAGGAAGACAAACTTAAGAGATTAAATGAAATCCTTTTTTGTTTGTTTGTTTTTTGTTTTTTAGACAGAGTGTCACTCTGTTGCCTAGGCTAGAATGCTATGGTGTCACCCTAGCTCACAGCAACTAACCTCTTGGTTTCAAGTGACCCTCCTGCCTTAGCCTTTCAAGTAGCTGGAACTACAAGTGCCTGCCACTATGCCCAGGTATTTTTTTTTAGTACTGACAGAATCTCACTCTTACTCAGGCTGGTCTCAAACTCTTTGAGTTCAAGCAGTCCTCCCACCTCAGCCTCCCAGAGTGTTAAGATTACAGGCGTGAGCTACAGTGCTGAGCCTAAATGAAATGCTTCCATGACCCCTTTCTTGTCCTTTAAATCAAAGTAATATAATTTACCTCATAAGGTTATTGAGAAGACTGCAAGAGATAACCTAACCCCTTGATGCAGAAAAGGTAGTTATTTCTAATGTAGTAAGATAACACCACCAAAAGAACTATCTCTTTGAGGCAGTTTAAGATCCTCTTGTTTCCTTTTTTGAAGGAGAACGTACATACAGTAAAGTATCTAAGGTGTCCAAATCTTAGGTGTACAGCTCAATGAATGTTTATGCACATACACACCTCATGGTTGGAACCATCCCCAGATCAAGATAATGAACCCTGCTAGTATTCCACAAAGTCCCTCGTGCCCCTTCCAAGTCAACACCTGCTTCCCTCATGGGAAACCACTGTTTTGATTCCTTTCACCGTAGCCCTTTGTGTGAATAGAATCATGCCACTTGTGCTCGTTTGTCTGGTTTCTTTCATCACGGTGTCTGTGAAATGTATCCAGGTTACATATGCATCAGTAGGTTTTTTTGTTGCTCTGCCGTATTTCATTCCAAATACCAGTATTATTCCATTCTCCTGTTGCGGCACATTATGATTGCTGCCAATCTGGCGCTGTCACAATTAATGCTGCTAGGAATATCCTCATACATATCTTTGAATGGAGATAAGCATTACTTTCTCTTGGGTATTTTCTAGGGATTGTAATTGCTCATTCATAGGACTGGTATCCACAGCTCTGAAGGGAGGATTTCTCATGTTAAGGAGGGCTAAATAAACTTAAACTCTCAAAGATGTAGTTGGCCAGGTGCAGTAGTTCACACCTATAATCATAGCACTTTGGGAGGCCAAAGCAGGAGGATTGCTTGAGGCTAGAAGTTTGAGAACAGCCTGGGCAATGTAGTGAGACCCTCTCTCTGCAGAAAATTTTAAAAATAGTTGGGTCTGATGGCAAATATCTGTAGTCCAGCTATTCTGGAGGCTGAGGCAGCAGAATCACTTGACATCAGTTCAAGGTTGCAGCAAGCTGTCATCGCACCACTGCACTCCAGCCTGAGAGACAGAGCCAGACCCTATCTCAGAAGAAGAAGAAAAAAATGTAGCACCTATTTTTGGTGGAGTCTTGCCACCTGTTCTTTGTTTCTGTCATACTTTTGTTTTTCTTCCCAAGGAAATATATTTACTCTTGAATCTAGAGGCAGTCCATTTTCTCTTCATCTGTGTGGTAATGCATATTCTAAAGAGTTTAGCTAAGAATGTGTATCAAATTATAGTGTTCATTTTATTAATCACAAATATTTACTAAACACTCTTTGCCAGACACAGTGCTAATTCTTTGTGTAATGTCTTCATTTGATTTTTATAGCAATCTATAAGGAAGATACAATTGTTTCTCTGCATTTTCTATGAGAAAAGTAAGGCACAAAGGTTAATTAACTTGCCCAAGATCACACAGGAGTCAAACCAAAGTAGTCTGATGTCCTCCTAAATGGGTGTTATTTCACCTGTTTAGAATGCCAAAAGTAATTTTTGTTACCATTTTTATATTGTTCACCTTTGTAATTTTCTGGGGTTTTTCTTCTATTGCTATGATCAGCTACATAAAGTGAGGAAGACATTTAATTTGAATCTTTCACGACTATTACACTTGTGAAAAGTCCCTCCTAAAAGATCTAAATTAGCTAGATTGGCCATCTGTTTTCATCAGCTCATCTGGGTAATTGTTTGTAATCATTACGTGTATACATTTTGGTTCTGCCTTTATCCCTTATGAAGTTGTATTTGCTCACAGAGTTTTATGGTAGGGTTTTTATGTCATCTGATCCATAAGTTATACCTCTACAAATGGATTAAATATTCTGACAATAAGAACAAGAAGGATGTTGAATGTTTGAAAAGATGATTAAGATTGCTTGTAACTTTTCTTCCTTGCTGAAAAGTGCTGAATTATTAATGCATTAGAAATTAGACTTTTAGTCTTACACACTTTTTTGAGTACTTACTGGTCATTATTTTAAAAACAGATTTCTTTTTCCTGTGGATTTTTAGAAACTTGAGTCCATCATGCCTTTCTGCTTTATTATGTTCTTTAGAGTCACTCAAGGGAAAGGATTAATGCCAGATGGTACGAGCAGATTTACTTGCAAAGGAAAGACACTTTTACATTACATGGGAACCAGCACATTTTCTGAATACACAGTTGTGGCTGATATCTCTGTTGCTAAAATAGATCCTTTAGCACCTTTGGATAAAGTCTG